TCTTTTTCTATTACCTGCTCTATTTGAAAAGTGTCCTGAGATAACTTCTGTTATGAATTGGCGCTATACAAATAAAATATATAATAACTGAATTGAATTGAATTGAAGGAATCCTAACCGGGAGAAGCTGACTACAATGACGCCAATGGTGGTGAAGACAACAACTCCCATGATCCCATGCTGATTCACCACCTCATTAAACTTCATCTTTTCTTACTGTAGGTTTTACATTTAATTAGTTTTATGATAGTCATATGGATCTAGTGAGATTTATTGTGTCTTCTTTCTTATGTTGTTCAGCTCACTGAGGGGGTTTTCATTGAAAAAATAAATCAAAGACAGGCTTCTGAAGACGCACCAACACTCTGCCACTGTTTCCTTAAATGGCCTGTGACAAGTGGACAAACAAAGATAAACGGTTTGAGATTTTTTGGAGGCTGTCAACCAACAGGAAGCAGGAAGTCTCTCACATCACTGATAACATCAACCCGTCAGTCAAACGAGGTCAGAGCTGAGCTTTGATGAATCCGCTGAGTCACAACACAACCGTAAACCAGGCCATACTGTGCAACACATCCTGCGTTACATGACCGACGCTGCTCTGCAATTCAGCAAATCCCCAAAACCCTCTAAGAGGTGAAGAAAGAGGGGACCACCCTGGGTGACTCACAGGGGCCCAGAGTGACCAGGGGCCACAGGACATGAACAGTCCTTTCATGTTGGGACCTTTCTCTTGTTGCATCAGATGCAGTGACGTTACGTGAGGTCATAATGTGACTCAGACCAGTTCAACTTCCTACACATCCTGACAACAAGCGAAAACAAACAAAGCTTCATGACTAATGTAATCTATGTATTATCTACATATAGATTAGATCTTCTTCTTTTTGTTAATCTTAGTGATGGTCGTGTTGGGCAGTGGTTCCCCTCTTTACAACTTCTGTAACATGATATTGTTGTTTTATTTTACAGAATATATGTATGTAGGTGTAAGAATAATTTAAGTCCCCATGAAGTTAAAGTTGATGTTTAATAGTGTGTTCCCACCACCCTTTAATCTGGTGGTATGAGCCTAAAATAAACAGATTTTGTTGTGATTTGAAGTCAATAAACGGATCAAAATGACACAAAAAACCAAAAACGTCAGGATGGAGATTCGTAAAAAGTCTGATATCATACTGCAAGACGACGAGCAAACAAGTGCATGTTTTCTGAATGGAGTTTGGTTGATTGGGGCTATGTTAACTGAGTGTCTTTATTTGTATCTGTTCGGATCTTTGCATTGACTTTGTAAACACAAGCTAACCTCTGCTTTTGTGCAGAACATCAGGGAGTTGCTTTGCACAGTTGGTAAATGTGAGACATTCATGTCGCATGTTTTCATCTTCACAACAAGAAACAAGGAGTTTAGTAACGTACAGCTGAATGCCTCAAATTTGCAGAAAACTTGCAAGGTCACTCTGAATTCCTGGACATTGACTTTAAGGAGCTGCTTTTTGCTCATTGTCATGTTGAAACAGAAAGGAAACAAACCTTTTTGTCTAAACTATGAATGTGTGGCAAAAGGTTTCTCACAATTTGAACACATTATGAAATACAAACCAATCCCACAAAGTTGTGTGTGAAAGCTTTCTGCTAATGTTTGTAAGTTTCACAACAATCCATACATTCATAACATGGCGTTTGAAGGCGCAGGCTTCACGCTGCAGAAGATCAGATGACCTAGAAAATCTGCTGCAACTCTCGACGTCGGCTGTAAAAGTGGGTTAACCATCAGGCCTCGTCATGCATGGTCTATGCGGTTTAGAGAGGAGGATCAAAGACGCTATGGATAGATACCGAAAGAAAGAAAGAAGGTGAGATCATCAGCGGACGTCCGACAGCAGCGCTGACTCTGACGCTCCTGCCAGGATAAATACCAGAGCGAAACCTGACGTCCAGCAGAACACCAGCCAACAAGACAACCACCTGCAGCTCCTCAAACAGTAGAGTACCATCAGACCTCCAGGTTGCACCTTTCAACCTTAACATCCTGCAGAGCCTGAGGATCTTACAGACACAGTGTGCAATAGCCACAAAACATCCAGAACAGAATAAGAACCCAAAAGGACAACGAAGAAGCAAAAGAGTCCAAACTGTCAGCATGTTTTCAACGTCAAACTGCTCCAAAGTGATGGTAAGAAAGACTTAGACAGACTTTATTTGTCATTTGGATTTGCATCAAAAATGAAATTACGTTAACAGATGAACACATAAGGGCACAAACAGGAATGAGAGGAGAGGCCAGTATGTACAGTCCCCGAATAAAAAAAAATAGATATGTAGATATACGAAACTTTTTTATATAAAAAATAAATAGATAATATATATTGCACAATTTTTGTTGCCTATATAAAAGAACTTTTTGTATAAAAGACAGATAAATAATAACGCAATATAAAGATATAAAGACTGAATTCTTCTTGTTTAATCGGAGTTCAGGACCAGAAATCTTAGCGTGAACAAATAAATAAGACATTCTGAAACATGTAATTGCTTTAACAAAGTATTTAATATGCATAATGAGCTAAGAAACTATGAAAATAATTATTTAAACTCAACTTATTATTAACAGTTTGTCACCTTTATCAAAAAACTGCAGCCTCTGAGATTTGCATGTTGCACTTTTACACGATTAATTGTTCAGTGTCACATTAAACATGTTTAAAACATCTTATTTGATTCACCTTAAAAATTCATACAGGAATTTAGAAGAAAACATATATAATGAAAACTTTCTGTCTCATAGATTTTAAGATACGTTGTGGTTGTTTGTTTTCACAATAGCAAACGACTGTTGGCTTATTGTTCTCTCAAGTTCAGTTAACTTATTTCTATTGGTTTTACAACTAAAATAAGACTTTTCAACCAAAGTTAATTTAACTCACATTTATAAGGCAGCAAATCAACATTTGTAAGTTGAACCAGCTCAAAATTATTATTATATTATAATATTTTAGTTTGAACCTTCTAAACTTTCTTTATTATATTTAGAAAATATTAACATTGCATAAGAAGAAGAAGAAGAAGAAGAATTACATTGTAAAAATTGTGTTTACTGCCACTGTGTATATCTGCTAAACCGTTTTGGTAATTCCACTTATTAAGGCAGGCTTATTAAGTTTGTTTACAAAAAATCTAATGTGGAAATCATGTTTTCACATGTCACACATTATACTTCACATGATTTTTTTGTGAATTCATCCCTATATATTTAAAATTTCTTAATTACAGTTTATTTTGTTGTATTAAGCATTTCTCCTCCTCTTTCTCAGGCTGCCTGCATGGTGGCAATGATGATGATGATGATGATGATGATGACGGAGGCAGCAGCCATGCCGAAAGGAAGCGGTTCATCAAAACACTTAGCAAAGCACCCAGGACACAGGAAGTCCTCTGATGGTGCAGCGGTAGAAACAGTCCCCCTGCAGCTGGACCCCAATGCTTTGGTTCCCACCAAAAACCTCAGGCCCCTGGAGAACTCATCCATCTCCCCGTGGACATACAAGTAAGGAAACAAACTAACACAGAAAACCATCTCTCAAGCTAACATAAAGAAAACAGCGGTTTGGTCCTTTAATCATAAAGCCATATTTATAGTTTTTTTGTCTCGTCTTTCTCTCCGTCCTCAGCATCTCCCACGATGAGTCTCTGTTCCCTCCAATGCTGTCGGAGGCTCGTTGTTTGCTGAACGGCTGTCTCGACTCAGAGGGCAGAGAGGACCTGAACTTGGAGTCCAGACCCATCATGCACCAGGTGCTGCTGCTGCGCCGCGTCCGGTCGGTGGGCTCAGGGGTGGGGAACAGCTACCACTACCGGCTGGAGTCCCGCCTCATTGCCGTGGGCTGCACCTGCGTCCGACCCATCGTCCAACAACAACAATGAAGACCAGCAGAGGCCAGACCAGCTACTGGGTCAGTCTGATGCAAAAAGAATGGAGGACCAGGACCGTCAAAAAAAAGACAAAAAAAAAATGTAGAAAAGAAAAATACACAATATACAAATACACATAGACAAACTTCTGTCATATTATAAATATGTACTATTAACATTATTATATTAAGCTAATTTATAAAGCACAGCAACAAGTTACAAAGTGCTTCTCTAATAGACCAATAAATCACAAAAAATTAAACAGAGCAATTTTTTTTCTTCAGAATTTAGTTTATTATTAAAGTAAACACCAATGTTGCTGTAATGGATTTATTTTGGCAGAGAGAGAGCCATAATGGAAAGAAATCTGACTAAAGGAAAAGCAAGATGTAGATTTGGTAGTCGTCTGCATAGAATCAAATATCGTGCTTTGAAATCCTGAACCGAAAATGTAAAATGTGGCTGAAGAATAATAGGACCAAATTCATATCCCTCATTACTGTGATTGTAAGTCACAATTGTTTGTTAGTCCAGAACTTTAGAATTAAGACATCATACTGGCCAGTAACTCCAGCTTTTCATATTTAATTTGATTGGATGTGAGGTGAAGGTCTTCCTCAGTGAGTTTGAATATTTATTTATGTCGCCTACATGCTGCTCTGTGATCCGCTGGATGTCAGATTCAATTATTTGATTTAATTTTTCCTTTAAATGTTTTGCATTTTCTTGAATTTTTGTGTTTACATTTGTCATTTGTCTCTAACTACACAGTGGAGCTAAAGTTAAAAAAGCAAACAGATTATTAATGGATGTGTTTCATATATTATGTTCTATTTATGGTTTTAGTTTATTTAAATTACATTTTATTTAAGTGTGTTGATCTTCAGTAGGTATTTATTGGTTATGTTATATTAATGTTATTATAACTAATTTATAGTTCAGAATGTGGTGTTGACTAAATAAAAAAAAATAAACAGAAGTTAAGTGTCATTGTTTTATTCTTGAATTTAAAATATAATGTGATTTCTGTACATTGTCATCATCATCATCATCATCATCATCAACATCAACATCCCACCCTGACTCCTTTACAATGACATTGCCAGTCAAACACACACACACACCACTGTAGCTGTAAACAATGTACACAATCGCTTCTCAGGCATTCATCACTAAAATTCATTCATTCGTATCAGCAGGCGGTTGATATATTGATTGTTGGAAAGGTAAGTTACCGGTGATATAGCTACTGTAGCCACATGAGCTACCTAGCTGTTAATTCTTGATGTACACAGTAAGGAAATATAGAATAGTTGCATAAATGCTAGCATGCTGATTTTAGTGAGTTGTCCTGATATTCAGAAAAATGAGACAGATCTAAATATAGAATCTGATAAATAACATTTAGGAGCTGTGAAAGCAGGGCTAGAGAGATTTGTATAGTTTTAGGTAACTCGGAGTCATCTCTGTTTCTCGTTTGACTCAAACTTGTCTTGTGGATGTTTTGTGTGTTTCAATCTGAATTTGTCTCTGTATCTCGGTCTGAACTAGGGCTGAGCGAGTACTTGTCTGTAATGACTGTCCGGTACTGTTACGACCCAGGTCGTAAGAACTTTTTCTATTTCTGTGTGTGCTTTAATCTCCTCTGTACCTGTGCTGTGGATCTCTCTGCTGTGGTACCTGTAGCTTGTGGTTTGTTCAGTGTGTACAGATGTTACAGCCCAGGTTAGGTCGGGGTGGGTAGCATTTATGTTTAACCATTTTCTCCTGTTTTTGATAATGAGTTAGGTTAGTGACCTGTCTTTTTTTGTCTTTGATTTGAGTATGTTAGGGTAAGGTTACTCTACTTTAGTTCCTTTTGTTTTTTTGTGTTGCTGTTAGCTCACACTAAAGCTGAAAGATTCAAAAAAACTTTTTAAAAGGGGTTAAAGTTCTTTGTTCCTGGTGGTTCTTGGGAGCTGGGAGGAGGTACAGGTAAAGATAATGTACTTTATATGAGTATCATCAGAGTAAAATGTGTCAATATTACTTACTCACTCTTATGATCAGAAACATTGCTCCAAAGCATCAATGTCTGATCAACCCGGATCATTTTCAGATTGAAATGTTTCATGTCCGGCTAGTTAAGGTTAGTTCTGCCCACTTTAAGACCCTCCGATTACGTACAGATAGAGATAATGCTGTACTCGCTCATCCCTAGTATTAACTCTGACTTGTTTTCGGTATTGTGGGTGTTTTCATCTGGAATTGTTTGACTCTAATGTTTTCTGATATGGGCTCGTCTCAGCGAGTGTTTAGACCTGAACTTGTCTTGCTTTGGTGGGTGTTTTCAGCCGGACTTGTTTAGGGTCTCCTGGCTGTTTTGACTCAGACTCGTCTCTCTCTTGTCTGCATTTTAAATTGTCTCGGACACTAATTTCTCCTATAACGGTCTTTGGTCTCAACCAAGTCCAGTTGACTTGTTTTAAGCCTTTCCTGGTCTTGACTTGGTCTCCGCCTGTACTAGGACTCAGCCTTGACCCAAAACTGCTGAGACTTGTCTTTGATAAGGCAGCCTTGACTGTACCCCTGTGAGAAAGTTTGCTGATTTTACTAGATGTCACCAACGTAACTGATCAATTCTTTCTTGTGGTTTTGCAGTAACTGTAATGATGCAAACTGTCCAGCAGATGGAGCTGTTGATCAGCTGTACATCCAGGTAGCAGGTCTCCATATTCCTCTCTCCTGGCAGGTTGAGGAAGTCCAGCCTGTGTTTTTCTGCCGGTTTGACATAGAAGAAGCAGTTTCCTTTAAGTTTTGCGTTCCATTTCCTTTGTTTGGTTGGTGCAACTTTGATAAGATGTTGTGAAGAATCCGTGATACGTACACAATCACACACATGAACACATTGGCACTGTTGGCATGGCAACAAAGCACAGTAAAACCTCTGTGAACCATCTAATGATGACTGAATCTACAGCGTCCTTCAGTCTTTCTCATTATAAAGAGTTTATCTCGTTAAGAAGAGTCCTGGTTGTACAGAGGAGGTCGAGCAGTCGGACTTGCGCGCAGTCCTCCTCCTCATTTTCTTCTTCTCCTGCTCTTTTCAGAGTCTCTTCCTGTCAGTCTCCCAGTTGGAGCAGCGCCGGATTTCCAGCACATCAAACTTCAGCTCATCAGCCCTCCAAAATGGCTTCCAATTAAAGTTCAGCTTGTGTTGTGATCAGGCCATCAAGACACCTGGAAGCAAAAAAAAGGGGGTGCAGTTAGCACACCGCTAGCACATGCTAATTCTAAAGGAGAATGGAAGGACTAATGTTTTTCTGGATTCAGTAATGGCTAAATTATGCTTATTTCAGAGTTAAAGAGAGTTTTTAGATTGAAAAAGCGACTTTCAGCATGAATTTCAACAAAGTTAGAAAATGTGACTTTTTGTAGATTGTGCTGAAATGTTTGCTCATACAGAACAGCCTTTTGCACTTAAGTTAGTTAAAAAAGCTCACCAATGACAATGTGGTACTTTTGTCAGTATAATAATACACTTATCATGTCTTATTGTTGTATCTTGGGAAGCCTTTTTAACACCTTGGCCAGGGACTACAGATGGGCTTTTGGCTAATTCTTTTTCTTTTTTTACCATGTGTATTTATTGATTTACTCTGTCAAACTTATCACGTTTACACTCAATAGAGAAATAAAAGCTATACACTATATGCTCAGAAGTAATGCTACATTAAGATTTTTAGAAGGTTCTTCCTGTATTTACTTTTTTGCTCCTGCCCCAGACACATCTGACCAATGAGCAGAGTTCTCACGTGGTTTGTAGGGATGATGGGGGAAACACTCAAAGTCTATAAACTCAACTGATTTGGACCGGAGTAAATGAACTATAGGTGTGAGAACGGCCTCAGAGTTGTTGGTAGGTGGGTTTTGAACTTTGGACAGAGCCAGGCTAGCTGTTTCCCCCTGTTTTTAGTTTTTATGTCTTTATGCTAAGCTAAGCTAACCACGTTATTTATCACAAACACATGAGTGCCATCAGTCTGAACATTCAGTAAAGCTGTTACTTTAAGAGTGCTTTTCCGTTCAACATTATTTCGTTAACCTCAGTACGTCTACCCAGAATCCCCTCCTCCTCCTCCAGCTTGTCCTCACCTCCACACTGTGCTTGTCCTGAAAGACACAAACATCACAAACACGGTTAATGATTCATTTCCATGATACAGAATGTGAATCGTCTCAGTTAATGACATTAAAAGCTGACGATAAATCCTGCGTCCTCACCTCCTCCTGCAGCCGCTCCTGTGAGGCGTTCAGGTGCATCTGCCGCTGCTCCTTGTCGGCGTCGGCTCTGTGCCCCTGACGCTCTTTGGTCAGAGCTTTCTGAGCGACTTCACGCTCGTGCTCCCTCCTCTCGGCCAGGTGCTTCAGCAGCTCTGCCTCGTGACACTAGAAAAAGACAACAGGAGGATTTACAGTTTTTGTCATTTTTTGTCAGATTTTACAGAAGAGAGAGAACTCTAATGAGTCTGTTGAGTGTAAACATTAGTTTCTAGGAACTAGGTGGTCTTATTTTCTTTTAGCATAGTTTCTTGATTGAACATTGCACGATGTCGCACCGAATCAACCTGTTTGTTTGATGTGAATGCAGATCAAAAATCAAAACATCTTCTCCATCAGTGGCAGACTTAATCTGGCTAAAACAGACTGCTGACACTAATTATCACTCGTAACACTATTAAATAACATGTGGTGTTCCTCAGAGATTGATTTTAGAGCTACTGCTTATTGTCTGAAACTGAAATATCTCAACAACTATTGGATGGATTGTGATGTAATTTTGTACCATCAATTTATGTTCCCCTCAGGATGACTGGTGATCCTCTGACTTTTCATTTAGCGCCATCATCAGGTCAATATCTTAATCAATCCAATACTTTGGTTTATGGCAAAATACCTGCAGAATTAATAACCTTCCCATCATCCGCAGCTCCCTTTAGTGCTAATTAGCAAGTGTTTGCAGTTTAACACACTAAACTAAGGAGGTATAGCTGCTAATCATGTTAGCATTTGGCTTAAAGCACTGTTGTGCATACTGTAAGTACTGTAAGTAGTTCGGCTGTAGACCCAACTAATGTCACCTTTACAATAAATAATAACAATTAACAATCTAATTTTCTTGAACCTAGCTCCACACACCTTCCTCCTCTCTTGGGCGGCGTCCAGTTTCTTCTGGATCTCTTCCAGCGAGGGTTTCTGGCGTGGCGGCGTGGTTGCCCTCAGCTCGGGGCCGCCGTCAAAGGTGGGCGGCTTCAGGATGACCTCGAAGGCCTGGCCGCTTGCCCGCTTGCTCAGCTCGATCACCTCCATGTCCCGAATGTTGCACAGGTTCAAGTCCACCACGCCTGCTGCAAAGAGAGCATGAGACCATGAAATGAGCACAAACTGACTGAGATCTTCCAGTTTCATCTTCAAAATCTAAAGTTTGCAGTCTGGCAGGAGACTTTGTGCACATCCCAGATAGAAACTGAGGATATTTCTTTCTTAAGGTCAGATTGGACCAGCTTGTGGAGATGAGTCATTCATATAAATATAAGTATTATCTGTGTTTTCTTATGAAGCTGTGACTTCAGGAGATTAAAATAACTGAGTGAATCAGCACACAGACAGAATTTATCATCAGTTAACTGAGAGCTGCAACGATCTGTCGATTATTCAAGTTGTCAATCATCAAAAGAATCTCCTTAATGAAGCCCTTTTCTATCAGTGAGTAAACTGACTATGCTTTATGAATATTTCATATTCTATTGATCAGTATCAATAACAGCAGAGAACAGCTGATAAACTGAACAATGAACCCA